ACAGACATACACATACACACACACACACACAAATACAAACACACTCTCGCACAAGTCTTAGTGCTCGCTCTTTCACATATTCACGACAAACCAAAATACGCACAAAATTAATTTTATATATATATATATATACACTCACAGAGTTAATACAATGATAGATAAACATACACACAGATGTGCCCTCGCACACACGCGCACACACACACACACACACACACACACACACACACACACACACACACACACACACACATGTCCGTGCAGTTGTTCCATTAATTGCAAGAAGCATCTTGTAAAAATTAGAAGAGGATGAGCTCGCCTTCATTATATTGAATACAGTCTTACCAGTTTAATTAATTACTGTTTTCTCTCTCTTTTTGCTGTTTTCTCACATTCTCCTTCTCTCCAAATATGACAACTCTTTGTATTCGAACATTCTACATAATCCCATACACATGAAATAAGTTTACTAATAATTTGTAACCACAGAAATTATTGCGGTGAAAAGTACCATGTATTTTAAGTTGTTTTATTCCAAACTGTGTTCAGATCACTTGTACACGGGGACTCAAGACGGTTTTGTGAACGACGTCTGGAAAGGAACGGTGCGCCCACTTGCACACTTCGGGAAGCTGAACTGTGGTATCTATCTATCTATCTACCTATCTATCTATCTACCTATCTATCTATCTATCTATCTATCTATCTATCTATCTATCTATCTACCTACCTATCTATCTATCCATCCATCCATCCATCCATCTATTAATCCATCGATCTATCAATCCATCCATCCATCCATCCATCAATCCATATGTAGCCTATGCCTGTCTGTTTGTGGTATTTTAATAAGGTAAAGCCAAAAAAGATTGTCTTGTTTATGAGCACCTTGATTAACTTTGTGCTACCGTGGAATGCGAGCAATGAATTGACTCAAAAGTGCACAATCAGGAAGTCGTTAGCCCCTCTTGTTGTAGGCCTCGGCAAGAGTACATGAACCTCTGTTCTTAACTACTTCCTTGAGATGACATATTTGCGCCTTGCGTGGTGTATCACGGTGTATAAGACAAAGCCAACACAAACTGAGGACTTATGGGGTGGGGGTGTGGGTAGAGGGTGAGCATAATAAATGTCTAGAAAATATCAGGAAGTAAATTTAAACCAAACCAGCCGTATGACAGCAGCAAAAATCACCCAAAAATCAAGACGACTTGTTCGTGTGTACGCCCACTGATAACACCGACTTGTTGACTAATTTATAAAATCTATGAGGCTGTGAAACAATGGTTTGATGACACAACTTCCTGTATTGTTAAGTTAAGTGCGCCTGGGTATGTGTGTGTGTGTGTGTGTGTGTGTGTGCGT